GCTTGGCGAGAATTAGGTCTTTTCGCGGTCCCGGCGACAGCCGCCCGCGCCCCCCCCCCGCCTTAAGCACATTTATGGATTTTGGATGGAAGGGGGTGGTGGTGGTGGTGGTGGTGGTGGTGGGGAGGGGGTGCCAAGCCTAGCTGCAGAGAGAGTCCGATCTAGGCTGGAGAAACCCGGCTTCATACTCCGGTTTGGCTCAGACGTGCATAAAGTTACTCAGCCGCGTTTAGACTAATCTACCCGGTGGGGTTGTTGTGGGGGGAAAAATGGTGGGAGGACGAGTCACGACGGTTCCCTCTGAGCCTCTTAGCAAAAGAATATCATGATAAGCATGTAATAACATATCCTTCCAGCTTTGTAATTCAACACTGGACTTAGAAATCTTGATTTTTATTTATTTATTTATTTTTGTAGAACCCATCATATGTTTCTTCATAACCAAATAATACTGGTGTGTCTGGTAGGTTTATTGTAGGCATGAAAACACTGGCATTCTTACCATGCATTGAAAAAGCAGTGCCCTGAATTTTTTTTTTTTTTTTTGTTAATATGTTTGCAGTTTGGAGTGGTATAATGCTAATGTAAAGCATTTAAGCAGACTTTAATAAGGCTAATTTCTACCTATCCCTTCAGAATCATCTATGGATTAAAAAGTGCACAGATTTCTAAATTTACAATGAAAGTGCTTCAGCAGCCGAAACAAAAGTTGCAAGTTGACATATTTTTGCATCTCATTTGCTGTGGTTGTAGTTTTGATTTTGATTTTTTTTTTTTTTTTGCTTTTGTTGTTCCTGATCCTTTACCCTCTCACCTAAGAGCAAATCCCATTGCACTCAGGAGGCTTTCTTGTGAGTAGATATACACAGGATGGGCCGGGTGATTAGATGTTAAACCTATTGGGGTAGGACCTGTCTCTCTTTACTTAGATTTTTAATCACTCGCATACTGTAAAAATGGTTAATTTGTTGAGCGAATGCAAATACGCATTTCCGCTCCTCACATTTGCGCACGCTTGCCGTACATCTTGTAATCCCTTGCAGGTCTTTGTACATATGGTCTCTTCTCCTTTTTCTAGTTGATTGAAAGCATCTGTCTATCCCTGTTTGTTCTCCTTATATTCAAAGGAGTGTGATGTGTGAAAGAGCGTTTTCCTATTCCATCTGATTGTTTGGGTCCTATTTTTAGTTTTAGAGATCAACGTTTAACAGATTGCAATGATGAACTTGGGGAGTTCTACCAATCAAGGTGCTTTCAAATGTTCACCAAGTTGATATTTGGCTCTGTTTTGACAGCTGTTTGGAAATGGAAAGACCCATTAAGGCGCAGTAATTATTTTAAGAGTGGGTAAGGCATAGATTTCAGCTGATTTCTTGAAAGAGGGAAGCAGTGGATATGGGGAGGACTAGTCTGGGGCTCTGCATTGCAGAAAGAAAAGGAAGACCCCAGATGTAGGACAGCAGGCCTACCACATTTTGAAGTCAATGAGCTAATACTACACATTGTCATCCAGTTTAGGCGATCCATTGCCTGCTGGATGTTTTGGGGTTCAGTTCTCATCAGTCCAACAAGCACTGTGGGAGTTGTAGGGGACAGAGATTTATTTCTGTGGATAATGTAGGACTATAAGCAAATGCTCAAGGAATGTCCAGTTCATCCCAACAGGATTCCAGGTTCTCTTAAATATTAACAGCAGAAACGGTTTGGTTCTTTCCTTTAGAGCAGTGTTGTCCAAACTTGGCCACTTTAAGATGAGTGGACTTCAACTCCCAGAATTCCCCAGCCA